CTTGGGTTACAAGTTTCAAAAAAGCAAGAAAACAGACGTTTATGGTGGTTTTGTTGGGTTACAAGTTTCAAAAAAGCAAGAGAACAGTTGTTTATGATGATATTCTTGAGTTAGAGGTTTCAAAATTAATTTTTTAGTCCACAAAAACCTGCTTACGTTGATCTTAGAGTATTCTTGGGTTACAAGTTTCAAAAAAGCAAGAAAACAGACGTTTATGGTGGTTTTGTTGGGTTACAAGTTTCAAAAAAGCAAGAGAACAGTTGTTTATGATGATATTCTTGAGTTAGAGGTTTCAAAATTAATTTTTTAGTCCACAAAAACCTGCTTACGTTGATCTTAGAGTATTCTTGGGTTACAAGTTTCAAAAAAGCAAGAAAACAAATGTTTATGGTGGTTTTCTGGGTTTACAAGGTCAAAAAGCCAAAAACCGTTGTTATGATGGCATTCTTGGTTTACTCAAGATTAGATGATTCAATTAGTATCTTGGTCACGGCAATGCTTATCCGTTGGGCTTAGGGTTGGTACTCTTTGGCGTTACAAGTTTTAAAAAAGCAAATGTACAATTTTTTATGAATGGTATTCTTGGGGGTTAGAGATTCAAAATTTAATTCTTAGTCGAAGAACACCTGCTTCCGTTTGGCTAGGTGGTATTCTTGTGCCATAAAGTTTTAAAAAAGCAAGGAAACACGTTTTTTGGTTGGATTCTTGGGTTACAAGGTTACAAAATGCAAAAAACAGTTGTTTATGACGGTTATTCTTGGTTAAAAGATTCCTTAATAAGTTTCTTAGTCGGACGAACACCTTGATTCCGTTTGGGTTTAGGATTGGTATTCTTAGGTTACAAGTTTCAAAAAAGCAAGAAAAACCGTTGTTAATGATGGTATTCTTGGTTTCATTAAGTTCAAAAAAAAAGCAAAAGAAAGTTTGTTTATTTCTATGGCATTCTTGGGGTTAGGATATTTCAAAAATGAATCTCTTTGTTCACGAACACCTCTTAGGGGTTGGTATTCCTTGGGTTTCCAAGTTTTCAAAAAATGTTAAGAAACAGACGTTTTTGTGGTTTTCTGAGCTACCAAGTTTTCAAAATGCAATGAGAACAGTTGTTTACGATTGGTTATTCTTGGTTAGAA